AGTTGACTTCCAATGCTACTCCCTAGGAGAAATTCCCTAGCTGTGAGAGTTCCTTGCTTAAATAAAGCAGGGGTGCTTTCTCAAGGACGTCAAGGATCATTTCACTATCTAATCTCTGCTAGTGCAATTGGACAAGGAAAGGAGTCTTTGGGGCCTGTAGCAGTTAACAATAATCTAGGTTATGCTGCTATAATGAACAACAGTCAAATCTTAGTGGCTTTAAACCAAAATGTTGATTTCTTGCTTATGTTACTTGGCCCTTGTGGGTTGGCAGGAGGACTTTGACATAATAGAGTCCCCATACCAGTGACCCTCATTCCAAAGAGGAAGAGTTCTGGAGCATCTTGCATCAATAATTCACTATTCCAGCCAGGAAGAGACTCACATCACTTCTGCTCATTGGCTAGAACTAGTCACATGGTTCTGTCCAAAGAGACCAGGAATTACAATCTACCTTGTGTTTGAAAGGAAGGGGAACTGGAAATATTTAGAGAACAGTACTAATGATGTCCACAGACCCAATTGTAATGATTAACATTCACAGGCTAGTATTTGACCCAGACTTACTTGAGGCAATTGCAGTCAGCATTTCTAAACCTCTTTGTATTTCAATCAAAAGAAATCACTTTCAACATTTTGCTTCTAATTACTCTGTATCCCTCTCAAATTGTTCCTGCTTCAAGGTGAAATCAGTGAAATGTTTTCAGAGCCCTGGTGCAGAGTTTCAGGCCTGTCACAGCTTCTTTGCTAACATCTTCACCTTGGCACTTGGGTTCTCCTTGAGTGTCCTCCCCACCCCCTTCACCAGCCTCAACCTCACTCTGCCTACCTCATCACCCTGGGAGCTGCTTGCATGCATCACTGTTTTGGTGGATGGCAGCAATACACAAGGGCACCTCATTGCTGGAAAGGAACTGCCTTCCGCCTGCCAAGGACAAATGCAGACACACAAAGCAATATCAAGCAAGACTTCACATCAAAGGGAACACTGCCCGGGCTTGCCAAGAGCAGGCTGCCTCTGTGTCTTTCTCTTCAGCCTTGTCAGTATTCTTAGGGCCCAACACGCCTATGGTGTCCCTGCCAGGCCGCCTCATTCATCCAGCACTCCTGTTCACTCTGACACCAAAAGCTCAGGGCTCTCCCTAAATCTGGGCTCGACCACTTGAACAGAGCACAATGCCAAGTGTTTAAAAATGTTGCGTGATTAGGAAGGAAAAGCACTGAGAAATATTTACTCTGTGAACTCTATATGAGTAGGAGAACAGAATGCTTTACCTTGTTCAGTGAAGCAACACATAGAAAGTTAAGAAATTCCTGCCTAAGACCTAGGAAAGATTACCTAATGAGGAAGGAAGAATGCTCTATAAGCGGAGGTCTGGGAACATTGGAACCAAACTGAAATTGACACTGGCTGGCCTGGGCATTCAGACTTGACTGGAGAAGTCGTGTGACAAACAGAAGATCCAGAGAAACTTTAAGTTCTACTTTAGAACCAACAGAAGAATTCAGGTTCTGTTGCTTTAAGGAAAAGAACATGTTTGTTTTACAAAGAGTATGAGGGAAAAATGGAAAAGAGGGACTGGCAGGGACAAAGAAGGGGATTGAAACTTTATTTTAGAACACAGGTAAGCCTATCTGTTCTGGATGCTAAAGGGATGCTAAAGAACTCTTCTAGAAGGATACACTCATCATCAAAATACAATGGAAGTCAAAAAGTTTTAAAGTCAAATATTGTGAGAGCTTGAAAGGGGAGATGGTCTTTTCCAAAATTTTTTTTTTTGAGTTATGAAAATCAAAGGCTCAGGAGTGTCAAGGGGCCTTTTCACAGTCACACAGCTGCTTAGTGACAAAGCTGTAGCTAGAACTCTGAGTTTCTGACTCTCAGGCATAGGTTGTTAAATCACAGCGTGGTGTAATGGTGCTACGTGTGACACGTGATCAGAGAGCACAGGTCTGCAACTTCATCAAGTAAGGTATTTTTAACATGGTGACTTCAACCCTTTGACTAAGCTCTTCCACTGTAGCCAACCCTACTGCACTGTTCCAACAGCTTCCCAGAATGGTAGTAATTAGAGCAAAGAAAAAAAATAGGGCCCAGAGAAAATGTAACATTTCTTAGTAGTGGGAGGAGGTGGAGATAAATGCATTTACATAACTTTCTACTTTCAGAACACTTCATGTGACCACAGGTTATTAACCTAGGGTCCATGGAGAGAACTCAGGCATTCCAAGACAGGAAAAAAAAATTACATCTTTTACTGAACTCTCACTGAAATGCGTCATTACCTTCATTATGAAGGTAGGCAAAAAACCACAACAGTATTTGCAGTCCTTGGACTTTGTCACTAATAGAAATAAACAGTTTCACATTATATTAGCTGTTGCAGGCATCTTGACATATCTTTACCTTTTTTATCACTTTGCTATGATGGTAGTTTTTAGATCTGCTGCTAGATTTTGTTAAATAATGTTTAATAAGCACCTATATTACTATACCACAGATTTTAATAAATGTTTTGATAATAATATTTCAATATAATTGGATTTTTTAATAATTCTATGTATGTATTTATTTTAAGCAGTTAAAGGCATTATTCTGAGAAGGGATCTGTAGACTTCACCTGTCAGAGGGATCCTTGGCGTGAAAGTTAGGAACTCTGACATGTGAGGGGTCAACGAGTGTCAAGTTGCCAATGGATACCCATGTTACTAGGTCCCCTGTCCCAGCACCAGCATCCTGTGGGCTCAGAATGACAGGGATGCTTGCTTGTCATTCTGGGTTGGAGAGCTGCCAATATCTCTTGCTACAGACTGTGTTTGTAATTCCAGGGTGTGCCAGCCTTTGAAAGCTGACATGATTATATTGCAAAACGTGACAGAAAAGAATCCATTGTTTGGCGTTATTATTAAAATTAAGGCTGATATGGAGTTGGTAATATTTCTATTAAGAGGGCTGTGTTCACATGTCCATGGAAGTTGACTTTTCTGCGGGAACTGGCACTTTAAAGTCTAGTCAAAAGGAAGTCAATGTTTTCAAAGATGACAAAAACTGATTTGGCCTGGTCAATACATGTTCAGACTACTATTAGGTAAGAAAAATAAACATTTTAAATATTAAGGCACCATTTCCACCTCTCAAATAGGCCAAGAGTTTTAAAGATGGCAATTCTCAGGATCGATAGGGTGTAATAAAATAGATATTTTGCTAAACTACTCACAAGACCAAGGCTTGACATAACTTTTCTAGATGACAGATTGGGCTTTATGTTTTAAGTGAGTGTTTTTCACCCAGTCATTTCACTTCTAGGAACTGATTCTTCAGGCAGAATTACAAAGATATTCTTCAAAATGTTATTCATAACAGTAAAAAAGTTGGAAACAGCATGAATGCCAACAACGAGAGCTTGGTCTAATTATGCTACATCTGTAGGATGAATTATTACGTAGCTAATTTTAAAAATAGCCATTCTGACAATACGTAATGATATGAGGAAATGTATAACAATAATGTAGACTTAAAATGCAACACATAAAACTGCAAGTATAAAATAATTCTGTTTTTTAGTTTTAAAATATTCTTCGTATTTCTTTGCAATCTTACTTATGTACATATACCTATAGAATATGTATGTGTAAAAAACTAGAAGGAAATATATCACAGTGTTAGGGTAGTGGCATTTTAATTATTGGGTAGAGGCATTTTAATTATTTTTATTTACTTCTTTATGTTTTTGGAACTACTGACGTTAGGAAAAGCACTAAGACACTGTTTTTAAGAAGATGAGCTGGTGCCACATGGGCTGATGTGTTTGCTGTGCCTTCTTGTTGCTCCAGACAAAAGTTTGTTTTGCTGGTTGCTACTGAGTGTTATTTTTCTTGTAACCTTTGCTCTCTTTCCCCACCATTGGCTTCCAGATGTCTGATTTCACCAAGTTCAGGGCACTTGACGCATGTGCATTTTCCCCTCTAACTTGAACAGGAAATTCAGAAACTGCCTTAAGCCTGCCAGCCTGATAGAGCCAGCACCATCATGAATATCAACCCCAAACCTCTTGACCTAATAAAAAATAGCTTGATGGGGGAATCTGAAGCTTTCATAAAAACTGGTGACGGAGTTTGAGATAGGAAAAGAATTTTAGAAGGCATCCGCCCCTCTTTCCTCTTGGTCAATGATGGCTTCTGCCTAGTTGTGCTTTCTGCATGTTGTGGGCGAAGAACGGAGCTAAAAAGTAATTATTCTACAGCAACTTAACCTTTTGCTGATATTTGGTAGAAAGTGATAAACTTTCAACTTTCAGTCATTATTTAGCATGTAATGTATAAATTAGCTGGAAAAAAGTCTGTTTGACTAGATGAAGACATATTTTCTACGGATTTTACCTTGAAAGTGAGAAATACAAAGGTAATTTTCTGTTTGGGAATGTTTGTTTTAGGATTCCATTATTTGCAGTGCCATTTAGAATTTTGGAAACATTAGAGTCTATATTCCATTCCTTCTCTCTTTCTTAAACTTGGATCAATTTTCTCCTGGGTGAAGTTTAAAATAATAAAAACTGGGAAACCATTTACTCAATGCCTCCTGTTGCATAGCAATCTAAACAAACAGGCCCCTTTCCTCTGTTAAGAACTTCCAATAAGACAAATCACAAACCTTGTGTTTAAAAAAATGATTTCCAAGTTCCCCACCCCCAACCCCATTTTAAAGCTCCCTTTAAAAAAAAATAGAGGCAAAAGATTGTAAGCAAGAAACTTAATTGACTTTTTAGTGAGTCACTTCTCATGTTACTACAGGGATTAGAAAACTCTTTTGTTTGTGGTGAGGCCAGAGGATCTGAGCCGGACACATAAAATACCAACCCAACCAAAGCAGGACAAATAATAAGAAATAATAGTAACCGTCAAGTGATCAGTATCTTCTGTGTAGCAGACACAGTGCCATATAAGTTATCTAATCTTATAACAAACTTCCTGTGTTGAATATCTTACATTTGCACCCCCAGGTCCTCTCTCTACTCTTCTGCATCCTGTTCTCTGCCCAGGGAGGATGACCTATTTAGACAGCAGCAAAGGGCTTGCTTACCCAAGGGTACTGGCAGGAGAGAGGAAGGAGGAGGTAAGATCAGAGTATGTTCCTGGCCCCTTCTCTGCTGGTTCCGGCAGGTTGGCTGTGTCCCTCCACCTAGAGATACAACTCCTGCCAGGCAGCCTTTTCCATTCCACTCCCCTCCCTGGCTTCCAAGAATGGCTCCTCAATGCTTCATTCAGGTCTAGTGGTGGGAAGAGCTCCCTGTGGTTGCCAGCTCCATATCAAAGTGAACTCTTAGGCAATGTCTTCTCATGCAATTTATTGGGAAATCAATCAGAGATTGACCTTTGCTAGACAACCTCTAGTGTCTTGTAAACGTTATTTAAATTTTAAATTATTTGTCTTTTCAAAATCATGGGCTTTGGCACTAAGTAGTTTTGGCCTTGACTGTAAGCGTTGTCAACATTGAACACCTGGATAAAGTATTAACCTAGCAGAGACTCAATTTACTAAAAATTAAAGAGTAACAGTAATATCTACTTTTCATGGTATCATGAGAATTCAGTGAACATATATAAAATTTTATTACAAGGTACAGCACATAAATATAATTTTATTCCTCTTTTTTCCCTCTTTTTTTCCTCCAACTAGGGGCCAAATTTAGCTAACATTTACTGAGTGATTATTATGTGTCATGTACTAGTTTAAGCATCTTATACATATTAATTTATTTACATCAGTCCTGTATACTATTGTTCTCTCTTTTACAGATGGAGAAATCAAGGCGCAAAGAGGTTACGAAGCTTGCCCAGGGTTTGCCGGGACATAGATGGGAGTACTAATTCACAACTAGATGGTAAACTTTTCAAGGCAAAACCAACTGTGTACTAAATTTCTTTCTTTCTTTCACAGGGCCTAGCATGATGTCATCCATACGTAGGTGTTCAATCAGTGCTGATTTTATTCCAGGAGCAGAGGCAATTAAGCTAGGGTTGCAATAGTTAGGGAGCCAGGAGATCCACATGGTCAAAGTAGCAGCTGCTTTCACGAAGGGCAGTAATGTGTGCCTCTCGAATGTGGATGCAAGGTCCCGGTAACTGAGGAATGGGCTGCTGTCGGAAGATAGAGCAGAGAGCAGCCAGCTCTCTTGGGGAGGGGTGAGGAAGGAAAGAGAACTTGAGCTGGGAGGCCAGCAATGGTGGAAAGCTCCCCAAGTGAAGCTTGAGCTCCTCTCTCAGCAGTCCTCCTGACCTTGAGGAGACAGTAAATCTCACTCCATCCTGTGGTTATACCACTGAAGCATCTTTAAAAATACTTAGTCCCAAACGATGGGCCCTTTCCTGCTGCTTTTCTTACCTGAGCCAGCAACCTCAGAGCTTTCTGGGATTTCTGTTAAAAACACCAAGATCCTTCTCTACCAACACAACTGTCGCTCACGCCAAGCATGGGACATATGGCCGAGCATCTGGGAGGGAGAAGATGGGCCAGGAGTGCTGGCAAGCGGCACATGCTTTCATTATAATGGATGTGTCATAGTAAATCATTTTGTAAATGTCCCCCTCCCCTCTGTGCTGCATAGCAAAACATAAAGGAAGACGAATTACCCACAGCTCCACAATGCTGGTTGAATATGCCAAAGCTTGTGCCTGAGACACTTACTGACATTTCCTTAAATATCTTTTTAATATCTTGGCCAGGTCGGGCATACCAATGGCATTACAGAGCTTGCAAATCAATACCCCAGCTGTTTTGGTTTTTTAATAAAACTGAATGTGATCTATTTTAAACGATTGCCTTCCGCCCCTCTAATTTTCTACAGGGCTTTCAGAGAGCAAGACTGTGGGCAGCCCTGAAGTCAGGACTTGGCTCTGAAAGGGTAGTTGTTCCTTTTGGGGGTAGGGATAGAAATTAAACATTTGCTGGATTACTGTTGTCATTTTTTCCTAGTCCTCTAGTCTCCCAAATCTAGTGATCTACATGATTTATAGGACCAATTTGTGGTTTGCTCCTGTGTTTAAAAAATGAGTTTACCAAAATGTTGCGGAAGAATCTAAAGGGTTTAGCTTCTACAAATCAAATTGATTTCTCCATTTGGGATCAGTCCAAGTGATTTATTCATAATTTTATTAGAGATCTTTTCCTAAGGAAATTCTTTGTCTCTCATTATCACCATAAAGAAAATGAAAAGAACTTCTACCAAGAATTCAGTCGTATGCATGTGACTTTTGCCCCTTGAAAAACTGGAATATGTAAAACTGTCATCAACAGTAACCATCTTGGTTACTGGACATCCACAGTCCTCAATAACAACAAGAATTCCTCATGCAAATGGGGAGGTGGTCCTGTCACATTTGGGGTCCCAGTAGGCAGAAAAGCCCAATCAAAATACCTATAAATCAGAGTTTTATAAAGATATTAGTTGACTGCTACTTATGTGGGTCATAAATGTGACACCACAATAAACAATCAAGTTTCTTTGAGGATGTATTTGAGGACTCTTTTATTGGCTTTGAGAAATCACAGTACTACAGTACTTCCATCAGGAAAGTCTCATCTGCTTGTGCAGTTTATTGCTTTTATTTTCTGTAGTTTATACTAAGTGTCTAAGCTTTTTTCCTTCCAGTATTTTTCCTGGGCTACATTAGTGCAAGTCCATGTTTTCCCTGGGCCAGCAGGACCACAAACCAGATTAAAACAAAAAGGGAGCTGGAGCCTCGGCTGGGCCCCTGGAGAGGCCTCCTCCCTCTGCCTTCCCCACCCCTGACCTCTTACAAACCAGCTTCGAAGCAACTGAAATTTCTCTCTTTCTTTCTTTCTTTTTTTTTTTTCCTGACCACAGGCAAAATCCTGTCTCCCTGGTTCTCTGAAAGTTATCCATTCCTGAATTTTACCCTTAACCACAGCGGAGGAAAGGGAATAGCTGAGGTCAGGAAATATGGAAAGAATGTTAACAATTTACCACTAAAATATACATTAAGATTATTTTCAGCAAGTGTAATCCCCACGTTGAACTTCTAAATCTAGAATTCTCCTGTCATGTGACTATATTCACATTTATGTGTGCCCCTTTCAGCCTCAATTCATCCCTTCCTGAATGAGCTCTCTGTGAAAGGTAGGACTGAGTGAAAATAGCCAAGTGAAATCTCCAAGTTTCCCTCCCTAGTCAACACTGATTACAAATGTTGAAGTGGTTAGATGAAAGCAGTTGTCTTTTACGTGAGCTAGCGCACAAATATCATCAGAGATTTTAAGAGGCATAAAAATAGAAGTAAAAATAGACACACAGGTCATACTTTCAATCAGACAGCTAGTTGTGTTATAGAAATCCAAAATCATAAATGTTTAGATGCTGTTAAGAACAAAAGGAATGAACCAGGGATATCCCATCTCGGGTACTTTTAAGATCGTTACACAATGTTAGCATTAGAAAGAAACAAAGAGAATCTTTCATTCAACTTCTTCGTTTTATATAGGACACAATTAACAATAATTACTATTGCCAGTGTATATGTATTTTTCCATTTAATTATTACAACAACCCTAGAATGTGTCACTTCCATTTTGTGGAGAAGGAAAAGAGAGGTGAAAGAACCCACCCAAGGTGAAGTGGTAGAGGTAGGATTCAAACTTGCGCATTTTGGTTCCCATTCAAACATCAAATTAGAGGCCCTCCAAGGACTTCAACTCATTTCTCTCAGAAACCAAGCAGTCTTTGCCCTACTGGGGCAAGTAGATGGCTGCTAACTGCCTGGCTTTATCCACCCCTGCTTTGCACCATGTCTCACCCTCACGCTGGCCTCAGGTTGGTTTGGAGTGGCTGTCATGGTCTAAGATAGATCTGCCTTTCCCCAAGGGCTGGGGCCAGTGCCTCCCCAGACACGCATGCTGCGCTGCATCTGTCGCTAATGGGATTTCCAGATTTCTGCCTCTTCATGAGTCCCCATTTGGCAGCCTTGCATATCTGTGAATCTAATGTCTGTGTGTAGTCGTGCTCCTCAGCTGTTCCAGTTTGGCAAATAAGTGATGACGGCTGTGGCCAGGTTAAATCTGAGGGCAGAATTACTGTGAGTTTAGTTTTCTGAGTCTATCTTTGCAGGGACTGAAGCTACCTTGAGAATGTGATGTGTGATGTAATCATGATGGCCCTGGACATGTCCTAGACTCATCTTCTTCAGTTACTAAGCACTTCATGTATTGTTTCTTTGTAGGTGAACTTTCCTTAAGGGGTGTAGTCCCTCTTTTTCCCTTTTCTTCTTAAGTGACATAGTTTTTTTTTTTTTTTTTAAGTGACATAGTACCTAGGAGGTCACTGTCTTGTTTAATTTTGTCTCTCTTATATATTACCTAGCTTACAGCATTAAACTTTGAAAATCAACAAATGATTATTACATATAAGAAGGAATAGGCCGGGCATGGTGGCTCACGCCTGTAATCCCAGCACTTTCAGAAGCTGAGGTGGGTGGATCACTTGAGGTCAGGAGTTTAAGACCAGCCTGACCAACCTGGCAAAACTCCGTCTCTATTTCAAAAATACAGAAATTAGGTGGGTGTGGTGGTGCATGCCTGTAGTCCCAGCTACTCGGGAGGCTGAGGCAAGAGAATCACTTGAACCTAGGAGGCAGAGGTTGCTGTGAGCTGAAATCATGCCACCGTACTCCAGCCTGGGCAACAAAGCAAGATTCTGTCTCCAAAAAAAAAAAAAGAAGGAAGATTGTAGTGAAGTCCTCTGACCCTCTGTGTAGTAGACATTTGTTATTTCATGGCTACTCACAATCCCAGTAAGCCCTGCTTCCTGTTAGAGCATGGTCTCCTCTCATGGCGAGAGCTCTTAGCAGTCAAAAAATCGAAGTACACTGCCCATTTCCCACTTCAAAAGCTGAAGGGAAAAGTTTCTGTTTCATATGGTTGTTATGAGTATATTTGATCAGTTAATTTAGAAATAACACATAAAACATGTGGCAACTGCTAGTATTAGCTCTTCTACTTGTTCTTCTTCTTCATCCTGTTCTTGTTTGCCTTCTCATTTTTGTTGTTATTAGTAGTAGTATTATCCTCTGCACAGCCAGGACAAGGGTACTTGACCTAAACTTTGCCACTCAGATTCCTTGGAATATTGAATGTTGTATGGTTGACACAGGGACAGAAGATACAGTTAGTTTTTTTTAATTGTGAAATATAACACAATAATGCAAAAGCGACATGAAAGATTTGCAAATAACCAAAAGCAAATGCCTATGTAGCAGCATTGTCCAGTTTATTAATCCACCAAAGTCTTCTATATGCTCTTCACCAGTCAAAACCATCTTCTTCCCTCAGGGACAGCTTCAAGGGTTTTGGACCCTGCAATCATACAGGGCTCCATGCTCAGAAGGGTCCCATGCTTGGTTTAACGTCTGCAGTTGCCTTCTTGAAATTTTTTATAATTTTTGAGCAAGTGGCCCTGCATTTTAAGTTTGTTCTGAGTCCCACAAATTATACAGCTAATTCTGCCTTCACTCTTAAGGTGACCATTATCCTGACTGTTGTGAGGATGATTTTTTTGCTTTTCTTTATAATTCTACCACCTGTATGCATCCGGAGCTCTTTCATCCTCAAGGTATGCTCTGACATGCTATTCCTGCTTAAAGTCAGTCAGTTCTATGATTCCTGCTTCATAGACCACAGATGTTCCAGTGACTGACTCTTTCAATATTCTCCTTTGCTTAGATTTGCCAGTGTTGATTTCTATTGCTTGCAACCAAAGGAACATAACTGGTATCATTGTTTTTCTAAAAGACTCTTGATAGAGAAAAAGATAGCGTGTAATAATTGTCTTTGTTTTATTCCTTTCTGCACAAAGTCTTATGAAAGTTCCAC